ACAGCTGCTCAGGGTTATTTAATAAATTAGTGTTTAAAAGCAGGAAACCTCTGCTGCATTGGTTGCTTTGATCACAGTCACGGAATGATGGAGGTTGGAAGGGAACTCTAGGGATCATCYAGTCCAACCCCCTGCTGCAGCAGGGACACCCAGAGCACGGGGCACAGGGTGGCAGCCCTTGGAAGATCTCCAGAGAAGGAGACTCCACAGCCTCCCTGGGCAGCCTCTTCCTGTGCTTGATATCCCTGTGCTTGATATTTTATCTAAGCAACTTTGCAGTAAATACATAGTTGTGTGTGTGTGTGKGGGGGGGGGGGGGGCTGTGCAATTAAAGCACCATGAAACTTTAAAAATGATTACTGTTAGCACAGAAAATTAGAGATGATTTTAAGCTTAAACATATGCTTGTTTGGGGTGCATAGGCCTGGAAAAAATCTTTTTTTTATATAAAAAGAGAAATGTAGATTACTTTTCAACAAACAGTTAATAAATAAGAGGGAGGGAGTGGAATTAAGAGTCAGGGAAATATTCTTTGCCAGGTAAGTGAGTCTCAGGCAGCCAGGTCTACTCTTCAAATCTTATTACTAAGGCTCTCTGCCTATATGATGGAATTGGTGCCGGGCAYACTCTAATGAAGGGATTATTTCCAGATTGTGTGCATTTGAGCAGGAATAAGAGCCTTGCGCTGAGAGAGACATCCGCAAGAAGAGGTTTTTAATCAGGATACATTATTAATGAACTGCATAGTAAATGTGTAAATCTGCTTTATTAGGCAAACTGTAAATGAGCATATTTGGTAAAAGCGTGCAAAATGTGTGTGCTGAGAGAGGATATTTCGAGAATTTAACTCGTTTCTGAATAGTAAAGGCATCCCGTCTGGCTGTAATTGGTGCCTGTGGCGGTTGTTGATACCCTGACTACATTAGCTCTCTGTGCCCTGTAGCGGAATTGGGAAAACATTTCTAGTACTCGTTAAGCTGTCTATTATCAAGACATCATAAATATACACATTTAGAATGGATGGTTTGCTATCCCAGTGCCTTAGAGCACTTAAATAAATTAGTTCCTACTATTTCAAACATTAATATTGCAGTAATTGTATGAAGCAAAAATGCAATTAAAAATGCCTTCGAACTTACTCAAGTGCAGATTTTTTTTTTTTTTTTTTGAAAATAATACTTGTTCTCTTCTCAAAACACACTCCAATCAGGTGGATGGACTGCACAGTCCTGAGTAATGTCAGCATGAGGCTGTTTTACCTCCAGATCCTGCATTTGCCTGCAGCYCAAGCCGGTACCAAGCAAGAATTAGCATCTGCTCACTGCTGTTGACCTCTGGAAGGAGGCAGAAGTCTGTGCTGGGTGGTTTTGTTCTGGTTTTTGTTCTCTTTTTCCCTCTCTCCAGTGCTGAAGTGTCACATGGCGTCTGGCACCGACTCCTGCAGTAGTGGGGTTTCCTATTCACAAAACGCTGCCACGCTTGAAGGCAGGAAACAGGGGCTGTTTCTCAGCTTGCAAACATGTTGAGCTTTCTCAGTGTACAACAGATAGCTGCTGGTTTCAGGCCTTCACAATATCAGCTCTGCTGAAGGGTAGGAATATGTCAGCCCAGGAGTCAGACTTAGGCCTGAACTACTTGGTGTTTAAGTTGGACAGCCTGTGTTCCTTTGGAGAAAAAACCCACATATTTTGTTGCTGAGTTACAAATAAGCTAGTCCAGCTTTTTGGCAGCCAGGTAATAGTTAAAACGAAAAGAAAGTTTCTTTTTTCCAGCCCGGGGAAGCAGTTTAATAACTTTGGGTGCGTTGGTTCGTAGCAGCGCTGCAGTCGAGCCCGCGTCCCCTGGAGCTTGGCAGGCCCAGCAGACTTGGCAGGGGCTCCCGGCTCACCCGTCGGGCCCAGCCCGGCTGCCGCAGCTTCTCCTGCATTTAGTGCCTCTCATTAACAGGATTAATTCAAGGGGAGGCTTTTTTCCCTCTTTTTTTTGCCTCACTGACCTCAAATAATAACGTGCGCTGTCCACAAATGACTGAGGCTTAAACTAAGCGTGACGATTTATGGCCTGTGTTAAATGCAAAATAAATGTGTTTGTGTACTTTGCGCAGCGTTTCTGGATTGTTGCTCTTGGTATTAAGATATTAAGGAAGTGCTCGACAAATTCTTCCTCTTGAGTGGCGTCTGATAATGGGAATCTCTGGGAAAAGCCAAGMAGAACTGTAACTTTCTTCAGTGCCTCAGAACCGCCCCAGCTTTTGTCCCCTGCTTCCAGTTTGTCTCACAAGCAGATTTGTGTCAGCATTTGCACTATGTTCACCTCCAGTTTTTACCTGCATGGATAACAGCAAAAGAAAATCTAGTCTAACTACGTATTTTTAAATAGCAGAATGTTTTATGTTTCTGACTGCTTCCTCTTGCCTAGCTAATCTTAGCCTTGAAATAAGGAGAATATATCAGTAGGACACCGAGAAGAGCATTAGGGAGATGTTGTGGTCTCACACCAGGGATGAGGTTTGCAGCTAGACAGACAAGCTCCTAGCTTATTTTCTGGGATTATTGCCCTCTTCCATGGCTGTGGTGGACTGCAAGAAGCCAGGAGATGACAACTGCTCCTTTGCCATCATTGCTACATGTCTGGGAGTCTGCTTGCTTGAATCTCTATGTCCTCTTAAAAGCAGCTCTCAAATTCCCTGTCTGAAATGCCCAAATCAGTTGTGTTTTCCTTTCTGGGGCCTCAGTTTCTTTMGGATGTACTGGTATGTTTTATTTAAGGAGTTTGGCTGGTTGCTCAAAGTGTGAGAGTGAGGCAGGGTAGTGGGCTGCTTTGGGTCATTAATTGGGGCCTAAGGGTGAGATTTGGAGAGTAGTGACCGCTCCAAATGTTGATCTAGTTGAAGTGCTGACAAAGAGTGAGGAGGTAGCATGTGGTTTTCTCTTGTCCTTTTTCTTTTTCGACAGAACCGAAGGGATAAGCATTTAATCCTGCTTATTTGAGTTGAATTCATGCATGATTGACGAAACATGACGGAAAGAGGAATTTAGGTTTATTAGGAACTGGGGAAATTTGGGGAGCTTATACAAGATGACGCATTTCAGCTGAATGAAAAGTGACCGAGGTTGCTGGCACTTTAGAAGAGCTATAAGTTAGGACACTTAAACTACAGGYTGGAAGAAGGACAGCAGGTGCAGAAGAGCACAAACCTCAGGATCGTGTAAGGTGAAGTGAATAAATTCTTGCCATTAAAAGAAGTTCAGCCAAAAGCTGAAAAAACGTTGTAGTCTAAATAGCCTACCGGGCAAGGCGTATTTATAAGCAAATAAACTGAGTTCAGTATCACTGTTGCATCTCTAGCTAAACAGTGAGAGCTTAAATGATATATTGATATAGTAGATTTAAGAGCAGGTGTAGATGGACAGAAGAAGGGTTCAGCTAAGCTGATGTCCAACTCCTGGGAGCTCCTGGGAGCCATGGCAGCTCTCTGGAATTTCTCTTCGGGTCTCCAGCTTTTATTCCACAGTATTTTCAAACTGTTTCTTGAATCCTTGGCATCTTCGTGAGGGAATTCCATAGATGAACCACATGCTGCTTGAAAACATTTCACCTTTTCTTTTTTATAGCCTCCAAATCTCCTTCTTCTCTCAGTGACAGACCAGCTATTCTCTATTATTAATGTTATTTTTGTCAGTCTTGTAACTGGATCTTCCCCGAAGTTGTCCCTGTTCCTTGCTGGTCTGTTTAGATATTCTACCCACGAAAACAGCTGCAGGGCTTCATGCAGTCTTGTTCTTTGTTCTTGTCCTCCTTCCGAGTTACTCTGTGCTATTTTGGGGGGGGATCAGGGAGGAGACCAGGGGAGACCTACTTGACTAACCTTAAAGTAAAAGCAATGCAAAAACATTAAATTTGGGTTGGTTAGGGAAAGGAAACATGCTTTTTTTTCCCTCCATGCAACATTGAATTACAATGTGGAGCTAATTGCCATGGAGCCGTGTGGAACACCAAATTATAAGTGAATTCAAAAAGGGTCACAAATTCATAGAAGTTCTGTGGTGTCTGTTCAACATAGTGGTTCAAATAGAGCCTGTTGCCGGAAGTCCATGCTAATCTTTTCAGTTTCAAATTTACTTGGAAAAAAAAGATAATTCTTTCCCTTCTTTCCTATATTCTTTCCGAAGCCTCTTTCAGAGCCCAGTGACTGAGAAAGAAAGTTAGTTCTGACCTAGTAAAGCCATTAGTACCTCAAAAAGATGCTATAAGAATGTAGGGGAGGTAAAAACAGACTCTGCCTAAGGAAACTCCGAGTGAAGTTTACCTACTCCAACGTAACATGGTGGTACTATATACAGCCAGCTCCTGTTATCCCAGCACAAATCCAACCACCTAATCCAACCTCCTGCACAAGGTAGGGTCAGCCCTCAGGGCTTGTCCATTGAGTTTTCAAACCTTGGAAAAGGATGGAGGCTCCTCAGTCTCTTTGGGCAATGTTTGTTATTTAATAATTATAGTTATGTCATTCGGATAACAAAGTTGTTATATAATTATGTAGTTGATAATCGGTACCGCTGTAATTAGGGGACTGTAGAACAGGACACAAGTCAAACACAGCATCCATCAGAACATGCTCACCTTGAAAATGTTAGCCTTTGCCAGCTGTGATGGAAACTAGGTTAGCTTCTGGCTTCAGGCACATTAATTTGCCAGCAGTCAGACTTTGGAAATTGTTTGAGGCCTTTTTTTCTGTTAGAGTAATGGTGCAAATACAGCAAATTGCTCCATCACCTCAGTATTTTAATTTAAATAAGCAGTACTCTGGCAGTATTTAAAATGTAAGCCTTTAAAAGAGAATAACTGCCTGTCACTGCTGATAATTATTTTTAGAGCATGACAAGCAGCTGTCTCCAGATGGTGGCCTGTGTTCCACATCCTTCTCCTCTGCTGCAAATGGAAAAATTTAGTGCCATAGTGAATTAAGTCTCCATGTAACTTGTCTGTCTTTGTTTCAGCTTTGGTTTGCTTTCGTTAATGGATTTTCTGGGCAGATCTTATTTGAGCGGTGGTGCATTGGTCTGTATAATGTGGTAAGTAAGTGCTGCATCTTGTGATTCAGAACCTGTGTGTCATTTTGTTGTGTCTGTGCCATTCATTTCTCATAGGCAGCCACCTGGATGTGTGTCAGAAAAGGTGAGCCCATTTATGAAATGCCATTTTAGTCCAGCCTGGGTTACAGAAAAAGACTTTGAACTGTTCCTTTTTTCAGAAATAAATAAGACATTGGGCAAGTGCCTCAAAAATACACCTGTTTGTCCTAATACTCTTTGATGAAATTCTTTCTATTTTAGACAATTCTGTAGATTTWGTTCTTTAGACTTCATCTTCAAAAATACCTTTCAGGTGCTGAAATTGAATCAGCAGTTCATCAGTCTGATGAACTAGCCATTCATCATTTGCTGATTGTTCGTGCTTAAAAATATGTACCAAATTGTAATCACTATTTTTTTTTAAGTAGTATTTTACAATCCCTATGATTTTGAGTCCATGGAGAAACATCTGGAAGCATTTGTTTCTATACGATTAATAAATAGTAAAGCTTCCTTCTCTTCTCTGACCCTATAACCAKTAGATGCTCAGGGAACTGTGGCAGAAAGCTGGCGTTGACTGAGCAGTGCCAGAACTGGAAGCTGTGTCACTGTGTCACCAGCTGCCATCACTTGAACCGACAGCAGGATGTTTTAGCCCAGGACTGTGTTCAGGTTTTAGCTGTGCCTTGCATGGTGCCACTCTGTGCCATGCAGTTGCTTTTAATCAGTCCCGGCTTRGAGGGTGTCTGGGGCTGTGTTTCATTGCATGCAGTAGACCTTAGTTGGTCTTTTCAATACACTGTTATCTTTGTAATGTTGCTACTGATAACTGGCCTGGTGTCTGGATTTATAAGCCATTAGGACACTTTGGCAGTGTGAAGAAAAATCCATTGCATTTCTCTTTGGAGGGAGGAAATTTAATTTTTTTCCTTTAAGCAGACTCATTCCAAATGTATGAAAACACAGAAGAAGACAGCAAATTATCTCTGTCACTCAGTAGTATTAATGGAAACATTCAACTTCTGTCACATTTCTTCTAATCTTAAAAATGATGACACAACCCTTCGCAGTCCGTAGAATTTTATATTCTTTGTGAAAGATATTAATTCAGGGATTTTCCACTCCCTTGATTCTTTTCACCCTCATTTCCTGACTGTTACGCAGTCTCTGTCATTCATGTTCAGATATTTGCATCTAATATCTTTAAACCTGATTTGATGGATCCACCTAACCTGCATAAAGCTCACGGATGAGACTCGTCTTTTAGAATCWGTGAGGTAGAAATTAACCCCTATTTTATAAGGTCAGTACTTTCCAAAATTAGAACAGGYCCCATAGAATCATGGAGAATCAAATTTCTGGTAGGATATTAGGGGCTCCCAGAAGTTGAAAAGTTAGGTTTTTTTGAGGGTTTAGTTCTGCCATTGTCTCCGACGCTGATTAGCCTTCAGTTCATGAGCAGCCTCATTAAAATGCTGCGTGCAGGAGCAYGTAGCAGCACTGCAGCTCCTGCATCTGCACTGCTTCGCACTGGAGGTTCAGCTTCATCATCAAGAATAGTACAAGATTTACTTCAAGTGCAAATATAAATGCTGCAGGATGCATAGGAACCCCTAAATTTCTGTGAAAGCATCTCATGCCATAAAAGAATATCCCTTTTTCTGGAATATATTGGACCAGCTGTCTTTTAAGTCTGCTTGTTTTCTGTCCCCACACGAGACTGCTGCCTTTTTAGTGATCAGGTAAAGCATTTGGTGAACAAATGAAGAATTTTCCTAGTTGGACCAAGGGTTGTAGCTACTGATTTCCATTAACATCTAGGCCTTTGCATTGCTGAATGTATACTCTTCAGCATATATTCTTCAGCCTATATTCTCCAGCTGCCAACTCGTTGCTCTTTGGGGCCGAGGCCTAATTTTTGCAAAAAAAAAAGATATAAAAGTTAAAAACAGTTCTTAATTCAAAGCTGCTGACTGAACGCTTCTCAAACTGCTCCAAAAAAAAGATTGGATTAAAAATGGTTTTTCCAATACGAGCCATAAATAGAGAGGAAGTGGCTGGAGGTTGGGAGGCAGACACGCACGCTGGTGTCGCTGCCCGCTGTGCCTGCAGACAAGCGTGGATGCTCCCGCCAGCACCAAATGAGCTACCACAGGTCCTGGAAACACTTAGGAGCAGCAGAGCRGGGCTCAGCAGAGGGTAATTTGCTGTGCTTCTGGCAAAGCATCCTGCTGCCTCTCCTGGCAGGCTGCCGAGGCTTGGTCATCCGAGTGSCAGCCCGGGGCACAGACCCTTTGCTGTCCTTAATTTGTTCCTATGGGTCCTGCCTGCCCGGAGAATCCCCAAAGTGACGAGACAGTCACTTTTTCCTTCCTTTTTCAGTAGGTCTTTTAAATGTCATTGCCACATTTGCTTTGCCTGTAAACTTAGCCTTAGTTAATCATATTATATATTTAATTATGGCTACAATAGCAGCTATATTTGAACCAATTCCTACAAGGCTTTTTCCAAAATGCACGTGTTGTCTCTCCTCTGCAGCCTGCACTTTGCCCTGACCAGATTAGCTTGTACATCACGACCTACCGATGCGTAACTGCTTGTGCTCAAGCTAATTGCTTAGGAGCAGGATTTCGTTTTCATGCCTCTTTGTCCTTAAGTCAATATTGAGAGTTACGAATTGCTGAAATTCATGTTTGAACTTGTTTGGACATTGGAAAAATTATGGCAAATAGCATACAAGTTGGTAGTACGTCTTCACTGAAGTCTCTGGGAATTTTGCTGTTGTCTCCGGCCTGAAACATTATCTGAGATCCACTTAAAACTAATAGCTGCTTTTAATTAGCATTTGCTTTCTTTGCAGATTTTCACAGCATTGCCACCCTTCACTCTGGGAATTTTTGAGCGATCGTGTACTCAAGATAGCATGCTTAGATTTCCACAGCTATACAAAATTACTCAAAATGCAGATGGGTTCAACACAAGGGTAAGGGAAAGTATTTCTTTAACAGTAAATACCATCTTTTTTTTATATTCTGGGTCTTTTTCTGTCTCRAAAGTTCTTATTTCCCACCGTTACTCCTGCTTTGCACTAGGATAATGCCATTGAGGTCAGGATTGTTCTGTCTGCCATTTTTTTGAAGGGTTTATATTTTAAAAAATAATTGGTTATAAATGAGCATTGCCAGGTATGGCTTGAACTGGTACGGAAATACTCATAAACTTTGATTCACAATAAGATTTGTATCCGAATATGAATTTTCAATTCCCAACTTTCCATTTTGAAAGGAGCTAGATAATCTCCCAGGATTTTATTTAATACAGAAGCTGTCATAACCCTCTCTCCTTGAGGACCTTTTCACAATTAGGCTTACTATTTCTATGGCTCTTTTAGGAAATAAAATTTGAATCGGATTATTTTGCCCTTCAGTTTTTAAGASCACGTTTTATTTCATTTCAGTCTTTAAATGGGAGAAAACACCAGCACTTGGCGCTCCGTTCTTTCCATAAAAGGCACAGAAATAAGAAGCAGTGAGATTGCTTTGATTAGAGAGGAAGGAGGAGGAAATCATAGATTATGCAAAGCTCTGGCTCGTGCAAAACTGCTTTATCTATAAGTTTAGAATTGCAGAACATAGCAAGTATTTCTCCATTAAAAGAAAATATAGCATTTCATGGCACTAAATTATTCTTTTTAAATCCTTCTTGGAGGTAATTAAAGAAAGGTGACTCCATCTGTTTGCTGTGCTCTGATAAAGATCTGAAATTRCAAGTATGCCTGCCCGTTACATTTTAACTTGTTCAAATAAAACTGGGCAATTGAGCTAATGTTTTCTTGTGCGAGAGCCGAAATTGTAGGAGGAAATACATCTTGAGGAAGCCGAGGCATTTCACTTTGGGAAAAACATTATGTCTGCCTCGGAGCTACACAATGAAGCGCTTGTTGGGAGTTAGAAAGAGGTCAAGAGTTTTGGACGTTACTGACTTCTTGGTTTGTTTTCCCTTAGGTTTTCTGGGGTCACTGCATCAATGCCCTGATCCATTCCATCATTCTCTTCTGGTTTCCACTGAAAGTGCTGGAGCATGGTAACTGCTTCATTATTTCCTACGGCAGCCACCGGTGGTCAGGCAGAGTAGAGCCCATGTGTTTGCAGAGCTGGAGGTCGTGACAAGTTCCAAGAAAATCACGATGACAGACGGGCCGATASGTTGTAGCTGCTGAACTTGGCTAGTCGGGGAGGGACTTTCAGAATTTGCACTTATTTAAAATAATTTTTGTTCATCTAGTGACTTCAATCCCGAAGACTTCTGGCAAAGCTGCAAATTATTTATTTGAACACTGAGTGGTGTTCTATCCAAAGCMTATATTTTTTTCTGCAGTGTGTTAAATTCTATAATTTTTATTGTATAATGTTTTTATAGTGGTTCTTACGGTACCTGCATTACAACAGTTTGCTTTATATCTTGTTGGATCTTTCCCACATAATGATGGCATGCTCTAAAAAGCAGCATAAAATAGAGAGTTTTCACTTTTGAAGTTTTTTCACTTTTTGAAGTTTGTTGAAAGCTGAATTGGTCGGAATGGAAGCAGACCAGATTGCACTATTAGGAAAACAGGATTTTATTTGTACAAACTGAGTTCATTATGTCTCGCTTTCTGTAGAAGGTAACRTAACTGAGTGGTATAGCAAGAGACAGTAAATCCCAGTATAGTGTTGTGGGGTAGGAAAACTCCTTGGAAATCTTTTGGATTTTACTTTGGGATTTTACTGTCCAAGAAATGTGACTTAATCAGATCAGTAATTTTAAGGGGCAGGAGGAAAGAAGACTGTTTATCTAAAAAGACAGACTTGTCAAAACTGAAACTCTTTCCAAGAAAATAACCATTTCAACAAAACTTTCTCAGCTCCAGGATGGATTAGGGAGGGCTGGAAAGGCAGGAAGAGGAGGGAAGGATGGACAATGATATGTCAAAGCACCATGGTGGTGGTGATGATAGTTGTGTGGGAGGCAGGCTCACGTTTCTCTGTACCTGGCTGAGGAAAACATCAGTATCATATCCCTGGTGACAGCTTCACACGCTGTGTGACAGAGCGTGCGAGGAGAGGGACCCTCCCTCTCCCCTGCGTGGCCTTTGAGCTGTTTGCTCAGTTTGGCAGGGAGGCTTTTTGGTTCGTTGGCCTCTGCTTGTTTTTTTCTGGGGGTGAGGAGTTGTTCTATTTCAGTTTTAATGGAAAATGTCCACCTTGAGTAGCTTTTCTTTAAATTCTGCTTCAGTTGTTTTAGCATATCTGTAGTGGTTACAGTTAAAAAAAAATGTTTTTAAACTAGGTTTTTTTTTAATGTTTTACTGTTTGTGCTTTAGTCTTCCAAAAATATTTTTCTAACTATTTAATTTCTTCAATAAATTGTGCACTCACAATTTCACTGAGGAAATGGTCAGAGTCACCCACTCAAACCATAACTAACTGTCTGAGATGATTTGAGTAGGTAGCTTAGTTTGCTTTCCACATAGAAAGGAATATTGAATTTCCYAGGTTCTTTGTATTTCCTAGTGCAAAAGGGTTTCAGTGCCACAGACAAAAACATGTCATTCACCCGGGGATGTTCTTTAACCTCTCCCGTTCCTTAGGAAGGGAAGTGCATATATGCAATGAATGGGCACTTGTATAGTTTGGGAATTGAATGCTCACTGGACATCCTGCTGTCCTCATTAACAGTATTGCTGTCCTTGCTGGCCTCCCAAAGTGCAAGGTCATGGAGATCATTGCACAAAATACATTAAGCCACTGCATTAAAACATAACTTTAAAAATCTGAGGCTTGCACTGAAAAATTACTTGATTACTTGAGTGGACCCCCTGACGTTGTACTAAGGTAGAGTTATTAAGTCAGGTTATTCTAGATCCATCAGAAGTYCTGTGTATTTAGCTGTGCCTCTTTATAAGCCCAGACTTCTGAGGTCAGCAGGATTCACTGGACATGCAAGGCCTGATTCTCTAGTGCTCTTCACCTTATTGAGCAGTGCTATGGGCAGGAGGKCAAAGTGAGTGATGAAGCATTACTTGGTAACGATGTGGTAAATGGCAGAGGCCGCAAAATGCCAGAGGAAGACTTGGCCTAATGGAGACAAATCGGATTAGTTCTCAACTCAGCTGGCTCAGGATTTAGGTCCTGTTGCCCTGTTAGTGACCAGTTTGTTGACTAACAGTAGTCTGGCTTGAAAAGACAAGCAAATGTGCAGATACAGGTCTGGCGACTGCAGGTAAATATTGTGTGTCTGTCAGTTCTTCAGTGACAATCCTGAGATGCAGTCACAGCAGCAAGTCTTAACACGTAGCATGGGGTGACTGCACGGGCTCATTTTATAGTCTTTTTTACCTGTGTGTTGGACAGCATCTTTACGTGGAAGTCAGGCCACCACAGAGAGCTGTTAGACACGACAGACTGTCGCCTGTCCTGGGACCTGTTTTACAGGAACAGTTACATAGGTAGATGGCTCCACTGTAACAGTGTCAGGTCCAGCTTTGCAAATAAACCTGCCAGAGTGGTTTGCTAATAGTAGAAGCACTGTACCGGGCAATGTGTGTTTAGGACCACGGCCAAGGTTTTATCTTAAGTCATTTGCATCCTCGCTGTTTGTGTATTTGCCTAGCAGTTGTCTTAAAACTTGTGAAAAGAGCAGTAGTGCCCAGGCCTGAGCACTGCCTGAAAGCTGCTGAGTTGGTGGCACTGCCGAGCGAGTTGTCACAGGGTTCCCCGTCTGTTCAGCACCGACTGCCCAGACATCTCAACTATTGCCAAGGTTGGCACTTGGAGATGATAGATTAATGTGTACTTACCCTTCTGCACACTTGCCTTGAAGAAAGGGCCTTTGGAAGCCTGCATGCTGCTCAGTCGATGCATTAGCATCGAGACGGATCATTTAGGCCTTATGTGTCCTTTATGATTAATCTGCTGGGGCCGCCGTTTAGTTCAGCTCTGTGTCGCCACAACCCAGCTGCTGTTCCATGGATTTACTTCCTAGGAACTGCAAATACTGCAGTATTTTGGAGATGTCAGTGAGTAGTTTGGGGCGGATAGGCACAGAAACTGCCACAGCTCACCTCTYGAGGATGATTTTTATGTTAGTGCCTGGCAGGCCTTTCTGTGCACGAGCAGTGTCAAAGGCCTCGCTTAGCACAGCCTCCGTATTGCCAATAGCTCCTAGCTTTTAACAGCACTTTTAGACATGCTGCACATTCAAGATTGGGACTGGTTGTTGTTTCATGGTCTTCCCAAAACCTCTACCTTGTTATCCCATCTGTTCCGTTGATAAACGCTTTATCAAACAGGATCATTTTTCTCTCTTTCAGATGCAGTATTCACAAATGGCCAGGGAATTGACTATTTATTTGTTGGAAATATAGTTTACACGGTAAGTTTGCTTTTGTAACCTAGTAATCTTTGAGTGGTAGAATTGTTTGACAGTTGGTTTTTATTTAATGCTCTCAGAAAGATGTATATCAGTGTACAAGTGAAAGCAAAATCAGATCCATGTTGTGTGCATAGTATTTTACCCTTTCTTTTTTGCTTCCTTTCTGCCAATGTAAACCACAGATATCTTCTGCTCTGCCCTTTCTCCCATGCTTGCCAGGGCCCCAGGGCTGGGTTGGTGCCTGAATGACAGGACTTCCTTAGGTGGAGGGAGGAGGTTGGGCATGGGTTTCAGTGGGTTTCAGGGGGCCAGCACTGGAGTCACTCTTATTTTCTTTTCCTCCTTGCAGTATGTTGTAGTTACTGTTTGTTTGAAGGCCGGCTTGGAAACAACTGCATGGACTAGAGTAAGTACTGCTGAATATCTTTTAATTTAACAGCGTAGCTCTCTCCCCAAAGAATGTTAGTATGGAAAAGGAGTATCAGTTGGGGAGGCAGTGTTTTAGTTGCATCTCCCTTTTAAGGAATAACCCGTTAAGTTCTCTAGGTACAGGATGAGAGAGGGGATAAACACTAGTTAAATGATATGACATAAATGATAYAAAGAGCAGCCTCTCTGAAGCAGAAAGAGGAAAAGCTTAGAAGGATTTTGGCAACTATTCAAATTTAAGAATGGCTACCCTCAATATAATGCCATCAACAGGAGAAAACCCAGTATAAAATCAGCATGCTAGTATAATCACTTGAGTAAAAAGCACAAGAGCAACATCTTTGAAAGCAGTTAATGCAATACTGAGTGCAAGGTGGCTGCCCACAAATAACCAACTGCTCTTGAGGAGCTCTTTTAAAGCTAGTGAGAAGCTGGCTTGACACTGAGTGAGACTTTTGCTTAGGAACTTTCAAAACCAACTAAGTAAAAGATGTTGGTTAAACCGTTGTTGATTCCCAGCTTTGAGTGGCTTGCTTGCAGTGAGGGAGCGCTGTGTTGCTGCTCGGTGTCAGGACACCGTACAGGAGGGGTGACCTTCCTGCACTGGTGGCTCTTGAGCACATTGGCCTCGCTCCTTCCCTCCAGCCCCTCTGAAAACACTGACCTCTTGATTTGAGTGGAGTCTCTTTCTCCAGCACCTCCGAGACACTTTACTGACCTCTCATTTTCACCACATATTATGACACTCTGTCCTCCAACCAAGATCTGTTGAGGAGTCCCATATCATTCCACAGGTTTCCTGAAAAAGCCTGGTGAAATCTTGTAACTTCATTGCTTCTATTACTTGTAATATATGTCTTTTGCTCCTCACAGAGGAATTCTTAAGATTAATGAGCTGGTGTCTGCTCTGAATTTTAAAGATGAAATGCTATCTGTATGGATTATTTACTGAGAGATGCTAATATTTGCTGCCTCAGTCTCTCATGATTTTTTTTTTTTGCTATTACTTTCACATAAGTTTTATGTTGAGTACCAACACTTTAAAATGAAAAAGGGTTTAAAAGCAAATGAGTTCTCTGTGCACTAGAGGAGGACATGCCTAATTCTGCCATAGAGRCATATGAGTCTCTTTAGATTCTGTTACAGTTTTTAATATGATGCTTCCCACTCACTGGAAAGTTAATGTCTTTTCAGTCATTAGGGGTAGTTATGACCCCCTCCTCTTAAAAAAAAAAAAAAAAAAAAGAAAAGGTACCATATTACCAAAAGTTTTGTATATCCTAGTGTTGTCTAGCACTGAAATTCTGTGGATGAAATATTGTTATGCGCAGAAAATCTCTGTGTCTAGAGTCAATCTTTTTCTAATTCCTGTCCCATTACTTGGGCCAATGACTCACTTCATCTTGGAATCCGATGTTGGTTACATTTATTGTTTCAGCTGTGAGTGGATCAACACACAATCTTTAGGTTACTTGAAGAGTATTAAATGTACAACATTGAGTTAAGCCCCTTTTCCATCATCAAGTGGATTGGTTACATGCAATTTGTTCTTAACAGTGAGAAGGACACTTTGCCACTTGGGAGAACGTGATGGGTTTAACTGAAAGCCTTAAATAAATAAGGCAGCCTGAAAGGGGTGAGGAGCCCAGTRTATCCAGAAGGGAGTGTGGAAAGAATGGTTTTGGTAGGTGATAACATGAGGCATAACAAAATCTGCACATTGGAGCTGTGCAGAGCAGCTTGCTCTTACATGTTGCTTATCTGGAGCACTGCAGGAAGCTTCTTCTATAATGCTTGCAGCTTGCTTCGTTGCCTTCCCATATCTTGTGAGCTATTTTAGATAAATAGGCCACCAGGGATAGCCRTGCAGTGTGTCCAGCTTTTATGTATGAGAGCCTCGATATTTTTTTCTCTGTCATTGATTTAACACTTCTGAAAGGCTCCTGCATTGCACATGGGTTCTGCAGGAGTGAGGGACAGATATTTCAGTGGGGAATCAACAGTGCACAGCTCGGTGGGGTGAGRTACGAGTTCAAGCAGGACAAGGAAAGCAGAGGCTCTGCTAATGGGGGAGAATTTTGCCTGTGCAAAGGGACATGACTACAGCAATCATGAGAAACAGGGGAAGATACAAAAAGAGCAAAATCTTTGAGTTAGGGCAAGAGCTGAGAAGCTCAAGAGCCTCCCAAGTGCTTGTTTTTTGTGGGGAGCTGAGCACAACTTTACATTTTGGCAGGGCTTTTTCCCAGCCAGAATCTTGGTTTGGTTTGTTGCTTTTTTACATTGATAATCAGACTAAAAGAATCTTCCCCACGCCAAAATACTGCAAGAAAAAAAAAAACCTAAAAAGTCTTTTCCAGCTCTGAGTTTTATTCACATTTAAATTGGAAGGGAGGAGGGAAAGGAAGGGAAAAAGGAAAGGGAAAAGAAAAGGAAGGGAAAAAGGGAAGGCAAGGGAAGGAACCCATAGTCAGGTTTCCTGAGTGAAACAGATTAAGCAACGAAGTTTGCAGCCCTTCCTGTCCACTGCACTTCTCCACGAAGGGGCATAACTCTCTTGCCTATTAGTCAGCACAGAACAAAATTCCAGCTTTCTGCGAGTGCCTGGGAGTGCCCTTTCCCTCCTCTTTGGAGTTTTGCGGTATGAATGCTTCTACTGTAAGACAGCCGCCAGTTGCTCCCTGATACCTGCCAGTCTGCACTGGTACTTCACATCTCCCWCTTTTTGTATGTACTTTTCCCCACCACGGCCTGTGCTCAAGAAAACTCTCCTTGMTAAGGACACTCAGCTGCCTCTAGGGAAGGCGCAATCTACCCTTCCAGAAGTTTGTGTCTAACTTGCAGCAGGCATAACATAGTAAACACACTCAATTATACATTTTTATGCTTTTCAGACATAATATCTAAAACTAAAAAAGAAAAATGAGCAAATAAAAGGCATAAAGGTGAGAACTAAATGATGCTATGTCCACTACAGGCACAAATGCACAAATTCTTTGCTATGCTTCTATATCCATCTGCAATTAGTAATTAAGATTTATGCAGGTACTTCTCTGAATTGGAGCCAAAGTCATCAGCGATGGGAGTTTCCAGCCACCAAAAAGTTAGCGCCAATAGTGAGCTCAGTTGCTTGCTGCAACTGAAATTACTGATTCCATCCACTGCACTGTGAAAGTCAAACAGATTAAATCATCTTGAATAGCAAAATATTTTGTGCGTGCAGACAAGCTGCCCTCCCTTAATGCAGCTGAAAGGAACAATCTCTTTGCTGGAGGTGTGCTCAACCATTTTGATACAACTTCCACTAATTCCAAGGGAATCTACAGCTGAAAGAACCAGCAAAGATGTAAATTGTCTTGCATATGTGTAAATCACTTAGAAAAATTGAGAAAAAAAAAATAGAAAAGTGACTCAGGAGATGCTGGTGGCTGAAGTGGTGTGGTGCACAGCACTGAATCTTCCTCAGTGACAGCTCTGAGAGGGGAGCACACGGCCTCTCCGCGGCCACTCCGACATGGAGGATTTCTTGGCCTGAACTTTAACCCAGGCCTTTGAGAAATCCCACCTTGACGCGTGTGTTGAACCTGGCACGTGTAAAATGGGAACCAGGAGCGCAGCGAGCGCGGGCAGAGCTCTGAGGAAAATCYGATGAGTTTTGGGAGCCCGCGGCAAGACGGATCGGCTGAGAGGCCTATCTGCCTGCCCCGTCAGGAGGCGAAGATTAAAGAGGAGAGCTGTTTTATGCAGTTTAAACCACCTACGCTCCTGGCCTAGGCCCAAGTGCAGTAGACGGGCCTGAGCGAGGCCGGCAGCGAGCTGAACAGAGGAGCGCCTGTGCGGTAAGTGCAGGGAGGAAGGCAACTGACTCTTGCTCTTCCTCCCCTCGCCGGCAGTTCAGCCACCTGGCCGTGTGGGGGAGCATGCTGCTGTGGCTCGTCTTCTTCGGCGTCTACTCCGCCATCTGGTCCGTGTTTCCCATCGCGCCGGACATGCTGGGGCAGGTTGGTAACGGCGGCCGCGCGCGGTGCCGCGTCGCCATCACATGCAACACACGTGGAGGGGAGATACCTCCTAGCACGAGTGCCCACGCRTTATTTTCACCTTAAACACAAAAGATCTTGCTTTCCCTTCCCTCCAGAAAGGCTCCTTTTTTTTTTCTTTCTATTTTGAAGACTTGTTATATGCCCTGTAGTTACYTTATGACAATTCTCTGTTCATTTAGTTGGTAATGAGATTGGCTCTTTAATTAATGCTTTCCTAGTAAGACTTCTTAAGCTTAACAAAACACCAGGCGCAAATTTTAATTMTGCATTGGTTTCTTTTATTGATTTTTTTCCTTTAATCATAGGCTTTTTTTCTCTATGTATCATGGTTTTGTATTGTTCCTTTGTTCCTGCCTCCACTTAAAATGAACCAGAATATACTTGAGAAGAACTTGAGACGGGCAGAAGTGGARGGGAAGTTGATCTGTTACCGGTCCCCTTACGGTACTGGTGGAGGGTTGGAATTGTTCCTTTGGTGTCAGCTGAGTTCCAGGTGGTGAAATTTTTCCCTTCGGTGTCATTATTTCAGCCCGTGGTGAGCAGATGGAATCACGAGCCTGTCAGAATCACTCAGGAGCCGCGTGCGTATTTAAAATAGGAGGCTCCCAGGAACAATGAAGAGCTTAGTAAATATATGGTAAAATGTCACCAGCAAGCGAACAAGCAGAACTGCTGTCAAAATGACCAAAAAAGAGGGTTTGTAGAAAGTTTAGAATGTTCTCTAACGCTGCAAAGATGTTTATTATATAGAAAGAAGAAGAGCAATTTACTATTTTTAACAAAGAACTTGAACATATTTAACTTATAAAATGACATCTTTGTCTACCAGAAAATAATAATATAAAAAAAAGCCAAGTGTTAGGGAACCAATTAGAGATTTTTGAGGTTACGCTCAGGCTGTTGTGCTCAACAAGAACAGTCTGGCATCATTCTGTTATTCTTCTGGCCTAATACATATTTTATTACCTTGTGCTACCGCGCTGGGGATGATGGAGGTTGTAGCAGATTGTCATGGACAGCTCTTTACAGCCAAGAGTGACAGCTGACAGGCAGGGATCAGCAAGTCAATGACAGGCAGAGCTGAAATCCAGCTTCTCTGGTAGTGTTTCGTGGGGTCTTTTGTGTTTCACAGCACACACTGCATCAGCACCTCTAACTCCTGCTTCCCCAGCCCCAGCTGAGCATCGTGCAGAGCCACCAGCTGCTTTTCCTGCACAGCAGCCTGGCAGTGCTGCCGTGAATGTGCTGCCCCTCTAATGCACAAAGGGCAGGATGAGCAGCTCYTTCAACGGAGGAGGGCCAAGCTGTGTGCTTTAACTTTGAATTTGCAGCATTTTTCAGAAGTCTCTCCCTTTTCTTTTTCAGTGGTAACTGCCAGAAAATTCTTATCATGTTTGTGGTCAACATTTGCTCCAGCATAAACCACAGGTCTCAGAACAATAACTGGGTGTTAATAACATTTTGGTTTTGCCTGAATACCTTCTAAATGTGTTCTTCCATTTAGGCATTTTATGCTGTGCTTTTTTGACAGTGACTTGAGAAGTGATATTAGTAGATACTAATGCTGAGCTCAAGTACCTTAGATGATTTTCATTGAGAATGCAGTGTTTGCATTGGGTAATTGAGTGATATTGTTAAATGCAATCCAGTACTTGCGTAGCTGTGTCCCTGGATCAGTAATCGTCACCCAAAGACAATTAAGAGTTGTTCATAATTCCAGAAAGATATTTCAGAGAATAGGGAATCAGAAGCAATATATTGTGTGGCCTTCGGAGTAAAAATAAGCACGAACGCTGACACTTTATCACAGCTTTCCTGTATTCTTTGACAGAAATAGGAAAAGTGGAAGAGTAGATTTGGGGTTCTTTGTCCTTTTGTAAACTCAAGCAAATCCCCTGCAGTAAAGGGAACTTGCTTAGGACTTGCCTCTGTGCAAAGAGTAATCCTGAATAATCAGCTGCTGTCAGGATACCAGCACATGGAGAAATGACCCAGGACCACGCTAGGCTCCAGGCTGTGAAATGAATTGCATGCTTTCCTCCCAGAATTAAGCTTTGCTCCTGCTGCCTTCCTTTCTGCATTTGCAAATAATCAAGATATATTAAAGGCAAAAAGCAACAGTGAAAAGTTTATTTTTGCTTTGTTTTTAAATATCTTGTTAATGTGTTTGTTTAAATAAACAGAAATCAAGAATTTGTTAGATACTTATACTCTGCCAAGTAGTATAACACGTAAGAGGGAAATATTTCAGTTCTTAACTGTAATACTCATCTAGCACCTATGCCAACCAGGACTTTGTGCCATAAGTAGAGGGCATATGACAAGCAAAATGTTTTATTCCATCCATCCATCAAATACCAGCATGGAGCCTCAGTGAGCTTTAACTATGTGAAAAGATGCATTGTTTCTGCTGGGGTTTATTATTACTAAACCATTTTCACTTTWTTATTATTATTATTATTATCATATGTAGAGCATTCTTGGTTCCCCACTTGAGGGAAAAAAGAAGCAATTTAGATTTTCTCAGCTGCTGAAGAGACCACATATTTCTTTTATTTTTACCTGTAATCATAATAGGGTACCTGTGACATAATAAGACAAAAGTTGTGATAAAAATCTCAGTACAGCTGAACAGAAGTGCTCCAGTTGTCAGACTCTGATACTTTGGAAATAAACTCTGTGGTTGTTTGGGGGAACCTTTAAGACATAAATGTAAAATGTTTTCCTTTAACAGGACCAGTTGCAATAATGAAGACCAAGGCAGTCTTGAATATTGCTCTTCTCTTTCCTCTTCTCCTCTCCACTCCTCTTTCCTCTCTTATCTCTTATCCTTCTCCTTTTCCTTTCCATTTCTTCCAGCACAAAGAACAGTGGCACTGAGAAACTTCCAGGATTACAGTGTTCTGTACAATATACTGTGTGGCTTAATACCCATTAGTGAAGAGTTGGTATAGAAAGGTGCTGCCCTAAGGACATAAATGCCTTTTTAGTTATTCACATTCTGAGCTCTTGGGGGCTGCAGCTAATACCCACACTGAGGTGGTATTTTGTGTACACGTTAGCCAGAGTCAGCTCTCGTGCAATCCTGTGGGATTTTGCTTGGGGAAGGAGGATAGGATGCCTTGAAGGATGAGGACAGAATTGCAGCATCCTTTGGGTTTATGGGAATAATATCACAGGGTGCAGAATGAAAGTCTTTGCGGGAATGGGCCCACACGCTTGCCTACATCGATACCTATATATGAGAGCATAAGTGCAGGTATACAAAACGAGAGACAATATGTGAAAGATATAGAAAAACTTTGAATTTTAATCCAAATATTACCTGAGATGGAGAGGAACAGATACCCTTCGTTCCCACGCCCAAGTTACAGTGCTGGGACTTCGGTGTTCAAGGCAGGGAGGGTGAGGGGTTCCTCTCTCCCCTCCGCAGCATCCACTACTGAGGTGTGATTTTTTTCAGCCTGTTTYCCTTTCTTAATATAGCCATTAATGAAGTAATGAGAAAAACATGATGCTTGTTCTTCTCATTAATAAAATGCCTTTAAGGAGGTTTGATTTAGTCTTACTCTTTCAACTTAAGGAAAGGAGGTGAACAGAGTGGAATTTTAATCTGAGAGGGTCATACATTTTGTTTAGTCCGAAGTGCAAGTTATCTCTTTCAAAGGTTGTGTGTGTGTGTGTGTGTGTGTGTGTGTGTGTGTGTGTGTGTTTTTCTTGGGTGATGTATGTAGGCATATCTCAGAACTGGGATTTAAAAATCATTTTGAATTTAGATCACATTATTTTGATCTCAGAGCAGCATTAGTAATGCCTTTCACATCTGAGGCCTTCCAGCCTCCTCACGGCTGGATGCATTGAAGCTGGAATTGCAATTTTGAGTTACTTTTGTATGGCTGCAGTTGAGGAGATTCATCAAAACCACAGTCCAAATAATGTATCACGAGCTCCCCTTCTGCACAGTGGAAATGGCTGCCTGAAAAGGCCACTCTTGTGTTAACAAGAAGGGCCGACACTAGCTGGGGAGTCTCCTCATGCTGCCCACAGAGTGTCACCTTTTCAGCCGAAAGGCCAGATTCTTGCTTGGTTATTTCACAGAACCACAGRCTGGTTGAGGTTGGAAGGGACCTCTRGAGATCACCCAGTCCTACCCCSTGCTCCAGCAGGGACACCCAGAGCAYGGGGCACAGGGTGGCAGCCAGGCGGCTTTGGAAGATCTCCAGRGAAGGAGACTCCACAGCCTCCCTGGGCAGCCTCTGCCAGGGCTCTGTCACYCTCACAGTCAGGAAGTTMTTCCTCACATGCAGATAGAACTGCCTCGGTTTCACCTTGTGCTCATTGCCCCTTGTCCTKTCACTGGCCACCACTGAGAAGAGCTTGGGCCCTTCYTCCCTACATTCGCCCCTCAGGTATTAGTTGCACAGCCTTTGTGAGGAGGGGAAAATGTGTATTCTGGAGGGTGTACTCTGCTTTTATGGCCAGGAGAGTAGCTGGTCTCAAGTCTGAAACTCTCTTAAATCTTGTTGCCCCTGTTCTTGACGACTGTGAGAAACCTGCGTGGAAAGATTTAAAACCAAACCAAACCAAAACCGAAAAAAAAAAATGGAAGCAAGATGATATTTATTATTGCAACATAAYGAAGAGGTTTCACCTTATGGTTCTTTCAGATCTTTGCTTACATACTAACAGCTTCTGTATGTTTTCCTGTTTTCTAGGAATTTTTTTTGGTCTTTTCCCTACGTTTGTGGTTTGTTTTTTTTTTTCCTCTCAGTTGTTCTTTTGGCTTCTCCTACTTTGACCGTGTTTGGTGCTAGTTAGAAAATTGGCCGTTCGGATTGCGGTTTGTTTGTGTGCAGTGGCGTGCACGTGACGTTGCGGCGTCACTCTTTGGCTCTGTGGAGATTCATCCCTGGGCTGCTCGGCAGCAGCCGGGCGCCTGCCGGCACGCGGAGCTCCTC